CCACCCTGTGTTTTGTTTCAATATCCTCCTACCACAAGCATTATCGGTTTACTAATAATAATATTTACTACTAATAATAATAAGAGAAGTATTTGTAATGTTCTTAGTGATGATAGCAGTTTGAAGTTAATGTAGGTAATGTAGTTGATGGATGTAGGTGGCTTGGACCTGTAGGAGTTTCTTTCTGCCTAGATAGAAAATGGTAAGAGGATGACCTCTTACCATTTTCTGGCACCAAGCAGCAGTATGTGTCCCAGTCTGAAGGACATCGAGAGCTAGGCTGTGATGCATTACATCTTAGTCCTCAGAAGTAACATTGCATCTGTAGTCACTTACTAGATGGTAAGTTTATTTGTCACTTCAATATTATAAAAAATTATGTTGACAAATTAAAATGTGGTAGCCAATAATCTTTATTACAAACTTATATACAGTAGAATGCCAATTATCTGAATTAATTGGGATCGGGGTCGATTCGGATAATCGAAAATTCGGATAATCGGACATAGACTGGTATGTAATATAGAAATCCGAACTGTCACACATAGAATAAACTTTATTAAGTTTATAAATGGTTTTACACTTTATAAAGTTTTATAAAGAGTAAAACCAGCTACACCCATTTTTTCACTGAACATTTGCGCCTTTTCTCATAAAATCGATCCTGAAATCGGTTGTCCAATAGATCGTTGCTGCAGAAACCACGTAAAAACAGCATTCTCAAGCTGTTCATCTTTTGCCTTTTTCAATACTTTTCGCGACAAACATCCATCACCACTTTCAAACGCGGTCACAAAACTTAAAATTTTTTCACTGTTATTTTTAATATCAGTTAACCAAGTATTGTATAAGTAATCTAAGTAATGTTACTTACTGTACTTGGTTATAATTTTTTATATTAAGCTTAGGACGGATTCGGATAATTGGCGATTCCGTTAATCGGCGTTTGGATAATCGGCGTTCTACTGTATTTGAATACTATTTCATATTTATGAAGATTTTCATATTTTCAGTTGGATGACATTGAGGGGCCAATAATTGTCTGTTTCACCTGTCATGCAAGACTCATTCGTTGCAGAAGATTACAACAACTGGCTATTGAGTCAAATGTGGTTCTAGAGCAGTTGCTTTCAGGAGGATCCATGGTATTATCCATTCCATCCATTAAGACCTATAAAAGTCCACTGCTGAACATAGGTTTCACTCATAGATTGCTTCATAGGAGGGATTTTGCCAAATTTGCCACACTTGGCAAGTTGGCAACCGTAGTTCATATCAGTCCAAGTTGTCATCAGGAAGATGCGGCCGCCCTACCTCTGTTTCTGTTTCCTTCTGTTGCCTCTTACGACACCCATCCCGTGGATAGGTATATAGGATAGTGCAGTGGTCGGCAACCTGCGGCTCGCGAGCCACATGTGGCTCTTTGGATGTGAAGCTGCGGCTCTTTAGTTTCATACGCAAATATTATTTCTCTTATAAAAAAAAAATATAAATCAATTCATACTGAGCCATTTGGGGTTGATACTGGATCTCTAGAAATGCAATTGATCGATTTAAAAAGTAAAGCTTTGTGGAGTTGAAAATTTACAGAGTTGATAAGGAAGTTGAAAAAGTTGGAGGTCCAGAAATGTATGTACATAACGCAACAAAAATGAACAGCTTTAAAAGAAAGGCTGCGAGTTGAGTTAAATTGGACGCATGGAATAGTCTTCCAGATTGCTATGGTGAGGTGAAGAAGTTGGCATTTGGAGTGCTGACTATCTTCGGATCGACATATTCGTGCAAGCAAGCGTTCTCTTGCATGAATATAATTAAAGTAAAGTAAGAAGCCAACTAACAAATGAAAATTCAGATTCGTGTTTGAAACTTAAAACAACAAGTTATGAGCCAAATTTATCCAAACTTTCTAAAACCATGCAAAGCCAAAACTCCCAATGAATTTGTTTGCTCAATTGTTTGTACTTGAAGTATAAGTTAGTGTTGTAAGACTTACAATGTAAATAAATGTTTCTTTTAATTTTTTACTTAAATAATAAGTGATTATCTAATAATACCATATATATATAAATAAAAGGTTGCCGACCCTGTGATAGTGGATATTCTTACACCATCACTGCACAATCCACTTTTCTATGCTGCTTCCCATTGCTATATGGGAGAATGTTTCTAGTGCAATGTTAAGTTTGTCCTTCAATCCAATTTACACTGTTATATATTACCCTATTGTATATAAACAAATCTCAATAAACAAAGATAAATCTTTGTCAATTTACACCTTTCGTGAATCTGAATCCAAAAGTTGTTGAGACTCGATTCTCGGGATAGATGAACTATGTACATTCTTATTTAAGTTTACGCTGAACCCTCACTTTTGTCTGGTGTTTATTATTATTTGAAGTTGTTGGCAGGAAGATGCTGCCCCTCGATCTCTTGTTTCAGTTTCCTTCTGCTCCTTTTTACGACATCTGTGGGATGGCAGGGGGTAGTATTCTAGGGGTTCTCCTACTCCACCACTATAGTGGCTTTTTCTCTTATTTGAAAAAATTATTTCCTTTCAGTCAATACCAAAACCGTATAAGGTTAGAGGTGAGATTAAATTCACACCAATTTGTCATATAGATATCTGGCCTGTAGAGTGTGATATAGACAATGATTGCAAGGACGAAATTTTTTGCCTTGATGCCGTTAAAGTTGAGGAAGAGATTTTCGAATATGAAAATTCCAAATTGGAAGAAAATGAGAATCATGAAACAGGTAAGATATACCCCTTTTTTGATATTATTAAAATAAGGTACAATTTACCTTATGGCAAGTGGTTACTTTAGCTCATGGACACAAAATAAAGAGGGCTTCATATGCAATGTACTGATTTACTGATTTGCCTTTGTCTAAATTCAAAGTGCATGTCAAAAGCACTCTTATTAATACATTAAAAATATTTTTACCCTGTCAGCTAGTATGTATGTCACTAAGATACATACTGGTAAGCAACCAATTATCTTTGCCATCTTCTTAGTGTCAGTACTAGGTGGTGTGACTCCATGTTTGCCTAGGAGTTGATCTATTTGTGCCTGCCCAGATGGACTCCTCCCTCCTCCTCTTACCTATTTCTGCCGTCAAATAGCAGTGCGTGCACTGCTGTGTTCCATTCTGATGGGTATAGAGTCAGAATAATCACAGGCTGTGGGTCATTCCATTTTAGTTGTAGTAGAGCCATGCTGCAGCTATATTAGTAGTATAGTTATAGCACGAATGGGTTGACTCGACCGGGGAAGGACCACATTCTCACAGAATACCAGCGTAAAATAGTAGCTTAACACTGCTGTGTTTCGTATGGTGATTGTAGAGAACCGGATGCCCTTTTTACTGGTAAAGAGGCATTCCATCGTAGTCCTCATGGGTGACAATGCATCTGCATTTTGATTCTTTATTGAGGACAGATGTAGATGTCTATGGGTCACAGCGACCATTTACCATCGTGTGGACTGTGTGCTCGTTTGTCACCCTATCTATCCTATAAAAATTAAAATTAAAAGATGAGCGCATTGCATCATTACAGCCTTCACAAGTCCACTGCTGAACATAGGTCTCACCCACGGAATGCCACAAAGCACAGGAATCCATCGCCTTCCTGCATTTCTTACCAGGTCATCATTCCATCTAATGGAGGGCCGCCCTAGACTTTGTCTACTGGTACGAGGCTGCCACTCGTAAAACTTCCTCATTCATTGTCATTTCTTCGAGCTATATGGCCGGAATTTCAAATTTCAAAGAATTAATTCAGCATTTGAAACCATGATGTTGAAAGTAACTACAACAGAAGTGAGACGATGGGCCCGTGCTTGTGTTAGTAATCGCATCAATTATTTTGAGCATCAACAAATAAATACACTTAGGGCACAATTAACTGCCCACCCTTTTAAAGTGGCAAATTTTGATGTTATCGCAGTTTTAAGTTATTGGGCATAAATAAGTCAAGTGTGAGTGAAATGTAGTGACGAAAAAATTACAAGCTACCCACTTAACTTTGTTTTTTTTACGCATAAGTTGTGAATAGGACAAATATCGAACTTCGTCTCATTATCGTTATCGTTGCCGTACTGCTTACATTGCTTCAATGGCATTAAAAGTAAACAATTTGATTTTGTTTTGGTTTCGTAACTTAAAGCTAGTGTTTGGACATCACAAACATGCCATTTAATGCTAATTTAGTGGCGAGAGCCGTCGCTCTTATCGACGAAGGGTTTAGTCAGCGTTACGTGGCGCGGAAGCTTGGTGTCGCACGTACCACCTTAAGGGATGCAGTGAAACGGTTTCGGGAAACTGGCTCTTATGAGCGAAGACCAGGACAGGGCCGAAAAAGATGCACCTCCGCTCGTGACAACCGATTTCTTGTGACCAATGTTCTGAGAAATCGGTTCACTACAGCTGTTGAGGCACGAAATCAACTTCGTGAGGTTCGCAATGTTCAAGTGAGTGAAAGAACAGTGAGAAGAAGACTAGGAGAGAATGCCCTTGGAGCTTTTCGACCATTCGAGTGCCACAATTGCTCGTAGGCCACCGGAGAAAAAGACTTCGTTTTTCCCGAGAGCACGCCGAATGGAATATGGAACAATGGAAGAATGTTATGTTTACTGACGAGACAAGAATGTGCTTGCACGGTCCTGACGGTTGGCAGCGTGTATACAGATGCAAGAATGATAGGTTTGCACCATGTACTGTTGTGGAAACAGTAGGTTACCAAGGTGGCTCTATCATGATATGGGGCGGCATTACTTACGAAGCACGCACCGACTTGGTTATCTTCGAAAGAGGTGGAATAAATGCTCAGAGGTATGTAACAGAAGTATTGGAACCTCATGTAATGCCATTTGCTCCATTTATTGGCGAAGATTTTTTATTAATGCAGGACAACGCTCGCCCCCACGTTGCTAGAGTTGTTACCGCGTACCTGGATACCGTCGGCATTCGAAAATTAACATGGCCATCCCGGAGCCCAGATTTAAATCCTATTGAACACATATGGGACAATTTAAAAAGACGTGTTCGAAGCCGCATACCAGCTCCAACCACCATAGATGAATTAAAACAATCCGTGATTGAGGAGTGGCAGAACATTCCACAACAACAGATCAAAGATGTCATCGACAGCATGCCAAACCGTTTGATGGAAGTCATGAGGGCTAGAGGTGGAAATACGCACTATTAGAATTCATTTATTCAGCAGATTTTTTTCATTTTTAAGCCATTTCATCACATTTGTTAATTTACGGTCAAAGTGTTTTTCAGACTTTTTTATAAATAAACGTAATAATTAAAAACAATATTATCTTTCATTTTACTTCAATATACACACGTTATAAAATAACATTCACAAGTAAGGCCACAATTTTTTTTTAACCAAAATCGTAAAAAATCAAGGTAGGCGGTTAATTGTGCCGCTGAGTTTAATTAGAATTTTTATTAGTCTGCCTTAAAATTAAAATTTTCTACCTCAATCTGGTTTTAGGGGACAATTGAAATATTTGTAACAAATGCGTGTAAGTTATACCTCAAATGAAAGAGTAAGAGAAAGAGACAATAACCAAGCATGTTTTCAAAAAGGTTCTAACAATAAATTAAAGTACCATCAGTTTTTTTTAACGTAGTGTCAAAAATTTTTATTATTTAAAATGTTAATTATGTTTCTTTAAATCGTAGAAAATATTCGTGAACTTAGTGTCTATACAAAAATATGTCTGATGACACAGATGCTGAGACTATGTTTTCTTAGGTACTTTCTTATTCATTACTTAAATTAAAAAAAACAGACATTAATTAAATTGGCAATTATTAGCAATTAACTGTAAAATTTTTAGTTTTATCACCAAAAACAAAAAGTATAGTCAGACTTTGTCTAAAATAACTATGGCCTAAATGATCTTCTTCAATTAACAATTCAATCTTTCAATCATTCTGTATAATGCTTGTCCCGTGTGCGATTCGAAGCATCTATTATTAGATTAATGTAGGTAATTGTAACATGGTGAGAAGAACGTCATCATTAGTTAATTTAGTTTCTCTACCATTCTTTCCCTCCAAAAATAAATATCAGAGACATTATTAAAAGTAAAATACTTTATATCTAGCAACATTGTATAATTATGTAATTTTATAATTTATCTATTTCTCCCTGGTTGACTGATAGAGAATGCGTTTAAGGTGTCTTACAATAAAAAGTTTTACTTATAATAAATTAAATGTTCAATTCGTGTGTATTTCAGAACCATACATCATACCGACAAATCATTTTTCAAAAGCGTCTGAGAGCAAGATTAAATCAAATTCTACTGATTGTAACATAAACGATGTTCGTAAAGGAAACCTCGATTTAGAAAGCCCTACTATTAAACCAAAGCCTAAAGTCAAAAAAGATAATCAACCAATTAATAAAAAAGGAAAGCATCCTGCAAATATTATGAGAAAGAAAATATTGAAACAAAAGAGTGTAAATATACTTACGAAAAAAACGTCAGGGGCATCAACAAAATACATTTTTGAATGTTATGGTTGTAGCAAAAAATTTTCAACAAAAGACATTCTCGCCAAACACATTTCATACAGTCATAAGACGCAAAAGAACTCTGACACCACTGCAGGTCGGACACAAGTTGAACAAACTCCAGTACCACAACTAACGGAAATATTTAATTGTGATATTTGCGAATTTAAAACATCTCAAAAAGGTCGCAGTTTGGCACATCTTAAAGCGCATGTTGCTGAACAAGTGTACTGTTGTAATAATTGTGATTATAAATGTATTAGAAAAGATCATTTGCAGAGACATATGAAAAAACATACTGGAGAAAAACCTTTTTCGTGTCATATCTGTAATTATCAATGTATTCAAAAAAGTAATATGCAAACACATATGAAAATACATACTGGAGAAAAACTTTTTTCGTGTCATATCTGTAAATATCAATGTATTCAAAAAATTAATTTGCAAAGGCATATGAAAATACATACTGGAGAAAAACCTTTTTCGTGTCATATCTGTAAATATCAAAGTATTCAAAAAAGTAATTTGAAAACACATATGAAAATACATACTGGAGAAAAACCTTTTTCATGTAATATCTGTGAATATAAATGTATAGAAAAAAGTTATTTGCAAATGCATATGAGAGTACATACTGGAGAAAAATCTTTTTCATGTAATATCTGTGAATATAAATGTATTAGAAAAGATGTGTTGCAAACACATATGAAAATACATACTGGAGAAAAACCTTTTTCATGTAATATCTGTGAATATAAATGTATAGAAAAAAGTAATTTGCAAAGGCATATGAAAATACATACTGGAGAAAAACCTTTTTCGTGTCATATCTGTAAATATCAATGTATTCAAAAAAGTAGTTTGCAATCACATATGAAAATACATACTGGAGAAAAACCTTTTTCATGTAATATCTGTGAATATAAATGTATTAAAAAAAGTGATTTGCAAAGGCATATGAAAATACATACTGGAGAAAAACCTTTTTCGTGTCATATCTGTAAATATCAATGTATTCAAAAAAGTAATTTGTGGTATCATATGAAAATACATACTGGAGAAAAATCTTTTTCGTGTCATATCTGTAAATATCAATGTATTCAAAAAAGTAGTTTGCAAACACATATGAAAATACATACTGGAGAAAAACCTTTTTCGTGTCATGTCTGTAAATATCAATGAATTAAAAAAAGTAGTTTGCAAACACATATGAAAATACATACTGGAGAAAAACCTTTTTCGTGTCATATATGTAAATATCAATGTATTCAAAAAAGTAGTTTGCAAACACATATGAAAATACATACTGGAGAAAAACCTTTTTCGTGTCATATCTGTAAATATCAATGTATTCGAAAAAGTGATATGCAAACACATATGAAAATACATACTGGAGAAAAACCTTTTTCATGTAATATCTGTAAATATCAATGTATTCGTAAAAGTCATTTGCAAAGGCATATGAAAATACATACTGGAGAAAATCCTTTTTTGTGAGAGATCTGGTAAAATATGTGCAATATTATGTAAACGTGTTTTATATAAATATAAAAGTATACTAGATAAAAATTCCTTTTGTCATGCGTTCCTTATGTAACTGTAGAACGGAATTCAAAGAGCAATGGCAGACTTTCATACATAAAATTAGTTGAGAAGAAATGGTAGCGTCTATATACCAAAAATATCTTAAAATGTTAAGCGTCAGTCCCTTAATAACTATGTCAAAGAATTTTGTACTGAGAAGGCGTCAAAAAAAAGATATTTACATTTGAACCTTTTTAGGTTATATCCTATGTCACTTGGAAAAAGTCATGCTTCCTGTAGTTGTTTGATGTTAGCTTAATACATAATACATAATTGAGAGTTTTTAGATTATTGTATCTCTATTATATATTTGAATACTATAAATGTATTTTCCGTGTAAATTCCGTGTAGTGGCGGTTAAGAATATCCACTACCCCATATCTTCCCGTGGGTGTCGTAAAAGGCGACAAAGGGAAACAGGCACGAGATGGGCAGCAGCATCTTCCTGGTAACGACAAAATACAATAAAAAACTGCGGTTGCCAACCCGCTCGCCAAGCGTGGCAACTATGGCAATATACCCCCCATAATGAAAGTTACGAAGAGACGGCCCCCAGTCCCCGGCGGCCCCGCTATTCCTGGCTACGGTGGCGACCATGGTAACGGCGGGGCAGGGGGTGCTAAGAATCTCCGGTGGAGGTTCGGTTGCCACCTACAACGACTCGACCTGGCAACATACAACGCACGCACCCTGAGGACTGACGAGAAGATTGTGGAGCTGGAAGAAGAGATAGACAAGTTACGCTGGCATATTATAGGATTATCCGAAGTCCGAAGAGAGGGGGAGGACACGGTAATCCTCGAATCCGGCAACTTGCTCTATCACCGGGAGGGCGACCATCTGTCCCAAGGAGGTGTCGGATTTATCGTCCACAAGTCTCTCGTTAACAACGTTGTAAAGATTGAGAGTGTGTCGACGAGGGTTGCGTACCTTATACTCAGAATCACCAAACGGTATTCGCTGAAGGTCATACAGGTTTACGCACCAACCTCGGCACACCCCGATCAGGAGGTGGAGGAAATGTATGAGGATATCTCTAGAGCCATGCATTCCTCCAAAACCCAATATACGGTGTTAATGGGAGACTTCAATGCAAAACTAGGCACAAGAGAGAACGGTGAGCTGAAAGTGGGGAAATTTGGAATAGGGCAACGGAACCCAAGGGGCCAGCAGTTGGCCGACTTCATGGAGAAAGAGGGACTCTTTATGATGAACTCTTTCTTCCAGAAGCGGCCCCACAGGAAGTGGACCTGGTCGAGCCCCGACGGTTCGACAAAAAATGAGATTGACTTCATTATGACGACCAGACGACAACTGTTCAGTGATGTCTCAGTGATCGCGAGGGTGAAAACCGGCAGCGATCACCGAATGGTTAGAGGCACACTGAACCTAAACGTTAAGTTGGAGAGGTCTCGTCTAATGAAGTCAACGCTCCGTCCCCCTCGTGCTCTAATCCAGAGTCCCGAAACCTTTCAGCTCGAGTTGCAAAACCGTTTTCAGTGCCTAGAAGACTGCAATGAAGTGGACGATTTGAATGACAAGCTCGTGGAAACTGTCCATGCGGTCGGAGCTAAGTTCTGCAAGACCCGCCGCAGAAGAACACAAAAACTCTCCGATCACACTCTTAATCTCATGGCTGTTAGACGGGAGATGAAGCTACATTCTTCAACAGATTTGACAGCATACAGGCAACTGAACAGACAGATCTCCAAATGCATGCGGCGGGACTTACGCAACTTCAATACAGCTTGTATTGAAGAAGCGATCGAGCGGAACCAAGGCTCCAAAGTCTTTGCCAGAGATCTGTCTGCCAGAAAGAGCCAACTGTCAAAGCTGAAGACCGAATGTGGCAGCATCGTTTCCGGGGCACCTGAGATTTTGAGTGAGATTGAGAGGTTCTATGGGCAGCTGTACACGTCATCGTTGGAGCCACACGCAAGTGTGAGTAACGATCCAAGAGCGAGTCTTATCCGACATTATTCCGATGATATCCCGGACGTCAGTCTGAGCGAGATTAGAATGGCTCTCCAGCACCTTAAAAACGGCAAGGCCCCAGGCCAGGATGGAATTACAGCGGAGCTTCT